ATGTATTCATGTATGTACTGGGTACATAGTATAAACGGCTATATCCAGATATTTTAGAGAGAACCTTTCAATAGCTGGGGAGGGGTATTATACATGGGGGGGGATACTTTAGTCAGTGCTGTACGGTAATTCTTAATTTGCATAGACAGAGATTAAATATGATCTTCGATGAAGAATTTTCTCTGCATTATTCGTACGTACGTACGTACGTATGTAGCATTCACTTAGTATTTATGTAATCTCCTAGCAGATATTATAAATAACAGGGGATTGTTTTTGCGCAAATATAAATGCATACTGTAAGATAACGCACTAACATTGTAAAAAAAGAACTAGTGCAAGGCAGTGTTGTACATTTTTAATAGCCAAGCTTTTTTGTTCTTTCTCAGCTGTTGTATATTATAAAATTTGTTATAATACTATAGTTGTCTCAAAGCTGGAAATTACATGGGCCAATATCTGAATCTGATATGTTTTTATGTAGACCTTACATTGTTGTACAATTATTAAATGAAGTTGTCTTAACGTGCAGAATTTTTGCATCATACATACGTATTAATTTTTTATCTATTAATTCAAAATTTCCAAATGAACATGTAAATAACTTTGCATTTATCATTATAAAAATTTTTTAGAAATGTTTCTATTATTTATTTTTTAGATTGGTATATAGAATGTATTAATTGAACATTTAGTAGACATAAAGGAATTATGCATAATAAGAACCATAATCACCCGCATATACAGTATTACAAATTCGACTATGGTTTTAAAAGAAAGCAAAGAATAAATAAAAAATAGAAGGGGCGGGAAATTATTTTTCCAAAAAATTTTCAATATACATATATTATAATATATTACATAAATGAAAGCCAAGAGATGTATGTAACCTAGCCAAGAGAATGTGTGACATGATTCTCAAATATTTATCATTGTTGTTATTTAATATGGTATTACAAATATTACAAGGCTAAAATTCTGCTATTATCTTATTTGAGGAAAAAGGAAATATCGAACGAAACATTTTCATAAGACACCTTAGCATTTTAATAATTTTGCCTAGACTTTAGGATGACAAAAGAAGCGTCTAAGGTCGGGAGTGTAAGAATTTTCAGTAAGGATTAAATCAATTCAGACCAATCTATTTCTTCAAGCTCTTCTTCAGATTCAAGTGAAAGCAGATTTATACGATCAAATTTGTTATTATATTCTTCTAATGGTACATCCTGTCCCAAGAAATAATATTATTATTAACGCGAAAAATCATATTGTATAAACGTGAAGGATAGGGACTTACATGTTTCGATGCGAAGAACTTATGATACCTAATAATCTCTGACCTATCATTATTCAATAATGGGATGCCTTCAGTGTAGCCCAATATTAAAAAGTTAGTCAGGAATATACAAAGGAGGAAATTACAGTAAGTTCGAGTGCATAATGGTAATGACATGTTATATGTTTGTGAGGATAATGGATATGATTTTCGAAAGTGTGAAAAAAAAACACTCAGAAAAATGTCGTTAGGGAAAGAATTATTTAATGAGCGTTTAGGGAAAATTAATCTAAGCTTAAAAGAAACGGATGTATTTATATTATATCAATTTTTTTGAAAGATTAGAGTACAAAGGAACACAAATTAAATTAGTACATGTGGATGCATTTTTTTTAATAGCTAAATATTTACGTATTGTACGTACGCACATACATATATACATATATTTGCAACATGCACCTATAATCATACCTTATTTTTTTTGTGAGGAGATACTTTTAGAGTCTTCTAAACTAAATTCTTTATAGTACTCATATAAGCATACAATTTAAACTATCTCGCAGAACAGGGAACTTGATAATCTTCATTTGTGAGATTTTCCGTTTTACTTTTCGATTTTAGATATGTGCAATTATTTATAAGCGCCATATTTGTATCACACTTGTTTTCGCATAAATTTTAACTTGGTAGAGCGCGTGTTTTTTATTTACTAACAAACAAAACTTATATCTAGTATATACCATTTATTATAAAACGCACCTATGGTGATTTTGCATCTATCATATTTTTTATTATGTTTTTTAAATTTTTCTAAGATTTGAATATAAAAATTTTCAATACAAAATTTTCATGTTAGTGTTAGAATTTAGGGTTAGGGTTAAGGTTTGAGAAGGGGTTTTTAGGGGCGTAGAGCATTTTTACTTAGGACATCTTGCATCAGTAATGGTAAATGACCTGAAATGACCCAAATGACAAATGACAAGTCATTGGGTCATTTCGAGACCCAAATGACTTAGAAGGTTATTTAACATATTTTAATTTATATTCTATTGCCCTTTAGCCAATCAGAATTTGCCGCCAAACAAATTAAAATATAATCGATAATCGTAGGTATATATTAAAGTCAAAAATTTTACTAAGTCAATTAATATTTATATCTTAAATAAAGTTGTCTGAAATAATAAATTGCATATATTCTGAAATTTTCATATAAACTGAAGAACTTTTATTAATTCACTTCCGCGCTTTACATTTATACACAAGTTAAAAGTTTTCAATTTATAAATATTAATTGACATAGTGTTTAATACATAGATATATAGCTATGATTATCGATTAGGAATATAATAAGTTTGGTAACTTTTTATATAAGCAATTCGACCAATAAAATTATTTTATATAAAAATGACCTACGTAAATAAGCTTAATGATCTTGTCGTGATTTGATGATTTGGGTCATTTAAATTAATGATGTGAACCGGTTAGACAATAATCGGGTAACCGAACCGAACCGAAAAAATCGGGTGAACCGGTTAATCAAATGCTTAACCGGTTAATCTGGTTATTCGGTTGACCCGACATAATCGGCTGACCCGAGATAATCGGTTGACCCGACATAATCGGTTGACCAGATATAATCGATTGACATCTGATATAATACATAATCGGTTGACCCGACATCAATTTTTGTGGCTTAGTCTCTTTATTTCAGTATTTGTTTGTTATAAAACCTTTTACTAATCTATACTTTTTTCAATTCGCGAATAAAAGAGTGGCCATAATCTATAATGGAGGTCTTTATTATAACTGTTCAGAAGCTATACCTATGTGTGCAAGAATCGCAGTTAGGCCAATGAAAGATATGTGAAATTTTTATATTGAATAGGTGTTTTTCGTTGTAATATTTCATAGGGTTTAATCGTTCTAAAAATTTTTTATCGAGATTTATAGTCTTTCTTATTTCAAAAACTCCTTTTTTGTTATGCTGACCATATCATATAAATTTTTAATTTTTAAAATGATAAGTATACATTTATTTAAAAGTTAAAAAGCTAGTTACATTTTGATTTTTGGTTTTGATTTATATTTTGTTTTTATATATATGAGAGTTAGGAAACATATTAATGAAGTTATCATTTCTTTTTAGGAATAACATTCGAGAGACTAATTTGGGTTTTAGATTGGAACGTCGAGGGGTAATGTGATTTCCAGCGTCAGAAAAAATGCGCTCGCTGGGGGCAGAAGTAGCGGGGACACTAAGATATTTTCTGGCTAGTTTTGAGAGGATTGGAAATTGAGATTGTTTCTGTCGCCACCATAAGAGAGGATCTTTGTCAGGAAAGGCTATTGGTGCCTGCCTTAAGTCAAGATAAGAATCCAATTCATCCGTAGGTTCATCTGATCTTTGAGCACTACCAAATATAAGGTCCTTAAACATATTATTAGGGGAGAGATTTTTTGAGCTAGGTGAAATAGCGTTTTTATTTGATGTTGGTGATTGTATATCCATTAGTTGGTGAAGTTGAAGTCTACATTCATTAATGGTATTTTTACGAGTTTCTCCATTTGCAAAAGACATTTCTTTCAGCCGGGGGTCTAATAATGTTGCGAGAAGGCAAATTGGTGATGGGTGATCCCAATATTCAAAAAGTGAGTTATATATGATATTTTGTATGTCTTTTACAATTAATTCAGTATCATTTTCAGACTGATTTTCTTGAGTATCAAAGGATATGTCTCTTTCATTTTCATCATCTGACGACTCAGACTCGGATTCCGAATCAAAATTAGATGTTTCTTGGAGACCTAACGTAAATATTTTCAATAAGTATATACTAGTTAAGATTAAAAAAAAATTGGTATATCAAATAGTTTTTTGGGTTTATATAGTACAATAACTATTATGTCTCAAGATTATTTTAAGGCAAAGATACTTTGATTATTATTTAATATGCCAAATTTTTTGTCGCGGATGATTGTGAAACTTGGATGATCATGAAACCCAAAATTTATTACCCTAACCCTAACAATTAGATACAATAATTTCAGTATCATCTGATTTTATAATCATCCGTGACTTTTTTTTTATTTTATTTTTTATTTATTTTATTATTTTTTTTTTTAATTTTTTTTTCGCTTAAATTTATTCCATAATATTTTATAATTTTAACCAAATATTAAAATTTTATACCTTCATTATTATAGTCATATTCATCAGGATCTATATTTTTGGCATAATGAACCTTCATTGCCTCCATTACTGGATGAATGTACGCTATTGTAGGATATCGCCCAGCACTAAAATATTCAGTAGCACTGTTGAAAGGTTCTAATATCTCAATTAACCTTTTAACAAGGTCCCACTCATTGTCTTGCAATATCAATTTACTTAATTTTTGACCATCTTTTTTTGCGTCTGGATCATCATCAACAGGCAATGTTACTGAAAGCCGTCTGATTGCAGGGCGCAGTTCAATTAACCTTTTCCATGATCGAAATTTGGAATTCCAACGGGTTGGTATATCTTTAATAATTCGTAATGTAGGTACGAACTTATTAATAATTACTTTATCATCGTCTATTATTTCATTATCCTCTTCATCTTCGAGATCAATATTATTTTCAGATTCATCGGACGAAATTGGAATATTACAAGACATTTCTTTTTGTTTATTTTTTTGTGTTTCAATTTGTGCGGTGTCTAATCTTTGACTTTGTTTAGGTGAATCAAAAAATTTAACCAAATTTTGTATACGGGTAATTTGTTGACGCTTTGCCTTAAATGCACGATTAATTGATAATTGCAAGGTATGGGCCGTGCATGGCAATCTTTCTACACCCTCCCAATTTCTTATAGCCCTTACCATGTTACTACCATTATCAGTGACTATACAAAAAATTTTATTTTGTAAATTAAATTCTTGAACTTTACTCATAAGAAATTCCCTAATAACGCGACCAGTGTGGGGGTACGGCATTGACTCTAAACAAAGTAGGATTTCATTTAATTCAAATTTGTCGTTTAACCAATGAGCTGTTATTCCAATGTATCCTGTTTTATTTCTTGCTGTCCAAAGGTCAGTTGTCAGAGAAATTGTTTCACTACTTAGTGCTAAAAGATCGATGATTTGGTTTTTTGCAGATACATTTGCAATGGCTATTTCTTTTTTTAATACCTTATAAGAAGGCCGACGAAAAGCGGGGTCTATTTGCAACATAAATCTACGAAACCCTTCTCCGGTGATAACTTCAAATGCTCGATTGTCAATCACAAGCCATTCTGCAACACCACGACAGATATTACGTTTTTTAATTCCTTTATGAGGGACGACACGTTGTAGCATACTGGTGATGGTTTGCTGGGAGCCTTTTGTATTACTCTAAAATTTAGTGACCAAATTTATTGAATTTATTTTTTATTAGATGAGTGCCGTCAAGGGAAAACCCACATTCTGGCCTTCAATTATGTTTTGTGTCTAAAACTTTGATTGAAGTTTTAGACACAAAACATAAAAGCCAGAATGTGGGCACTTAGATAAAAATATGAAGATTGTTTACCTGGTTTTTTTGAAATTCCACTATGTCATGTTCATCTGCAAGATGTAAATTCATGTTGGTTGTTGACCATCCGGGAAGATATTTAAATTTTTTTGCACATTTCTTTTCTTTTCCATCTATTTTAATTATAACATTGCAGACTGATTCTTCTCCTACTACTTTAAAATATTTCCAGCATGGTGCAAGTTGTTTAATTGACTTACGACGACGCTTGTGTTTTTTTGAATTGGATTGGGAACCTTTGGTCTGAAGATTATCTTCTAACACTTCATCAACTTCTAGTGAATTTTCAGCTTGCGAAGCTTCTCCAGATTCAATATCCGACATTGCTATATCTTTTATACTAGGTATATCTTTAAGAATAAATTATCGAGTTAAAAAAAAAGCATGAAGGAATTTTAAGCCACAATTTATAGCTATTTTGACTTGATTTGTTGATTATATCGTTTTAATCAGGTCTATAGCTTATGTTGAATATCAATATCGTATTGAACGCCGATTAGATTGTTTTTTTTTAAAGAGATATTCATCTGTATGAATGTGAAACTCATTATTATTTAACAATTAGCCTATTTGAATAGAGACCACCCATCAGACAATGATATTAGCATTTAAAGATTGTGTTCTTTGTTCTGGATTAGCTCCGTCTGGTGTAAGTATTTGATAGCAAAATGAATCTACAACTCATTACATTAATGCATGTGATTCTCATTTAAATGCAATTGATGAAATTTATATTGTAACAATATAGTAATTTTTTCAACAATAAGTTCCAGTTTTGGATTGCAGTTTAAATTTATTTATTCAAGTTATTTATTTTTAAACTATGTCAAGGATTTTAAGATGGGTCTTTCTGTGGATGCATACGGTTAGTATATTTTGAAATATTAAGAATCGGGTTTGTGCCAATATCCCGAAGATACTAAATTCCGATATACTAAATCCTGAAAGAGCAAAGTTCCGAAACTATAATATTCTAAAAGATCATAATCCTGAAAGATTTCGATACTGAAAAATCACAATTCCGAAAGAATATAATCCTGAAAGATCATAATTCTGAAAGGTCATAATCCCGGAAGATAATTGTGATTTTTTAAGGCTATAACCTTCCGGGATTATGACTTTTCAAGATTATGACCTTTCAGAATTATGATCTTTCAGGATTATGTTCTTTCGGGATTGTGATTTTTCAGGATCGTAATATTTTAGGATTATGACCTTTCAAGATGTTATACTTTCGGGATTTTGATCTTTCAGGATTTAATGTATCGGAATTTAGTATCTTCGGGGTATTGGCACAAACCCTTAATAAGAGTTAAGATTACATAATTATGGAGTTCAAGTACTGTATTTGTGTGAAATAACGTTCATGAGAACACGAGCTTAAGGCGAGCTAATAATTAATTTTAACCCGAGTATAAATTAAATTCTTATTAAAAGTCTTCAGCTAAATTAATTATTAGCTCTTTTCAAACTCGGGTCCTGAAATAATGCCCATGGGCGTTATTTCGTGCAAATATGATACTGGATGCAGGGTCATCATTAAAAGTGATTTATGCGAGGTTATTTAGGATTATTAATATGATTTATGCAAGGTTACTAATTTTCCCTGAAGATCACCTACTAGACAATGATATCAGCATTGTTTTCTTTGTTCTGCAGCAGAATGTATCTACAACTTACATTAATGATATGATTTCGTTCAAATGTTATTGCCACAATTCATATTATGGTAATTTAGTGATGTTTTAATGATAAGTTCACTTATTTACCTAAGTATTTGTTTTTAAATTACTGGATTGTAATAATTAAGTCAAACGCTTTTTAATAATTCTTCGTAGGTGTGCACAGTCAGGTATACCTTGTATGAAAGATTATAAGAGTTGAGATCACATAAGTATGGAACTCAAATAATGTATATGTGTAAAATAACGCCCATGGGCATTATTTCGAGACATGAACTTGAGGTGAGCTAATAATTAATTTAACCTGAGTGTAAATCATAATTCTTTGTTATTAAAAGTCTTCGGTTAATTAATTATTAGGCCATCTCAAACTCCGGTCTTGAAATAACGCCCATGGGCGTTGTTTCGTGCAAATATGGCACTGGAATTATTGTGAAGGGTTATCATTAAAAATGACTTATGCAAAGTTATTTAAGACCATTAATGCATGATTTATGCAAGGTTACTAATTTTCCCTGAAGATCGCCTACCAGGCAATGATATCAGCATTTAAAGGTTGTGTTCTTTGTCTGTTCTGGATCAGTCCCGCATGGTCTTAGTATATTGACAGCAAAATAAATACAACTTACTACATTAATGATACGTATGATTTTTTACTCAAATGGGCTGCCGTCAATAGAAATCAAGCAGATCTACATTTGAAAAAAAATTAATGCCTTGTCTTTCACAGCTCATATCTCGACAAATTTTAAAGCTATGTTGATGTTTTAATATTCAAAAGAAAGCTTACGATCTAAGCTTTCTTTTGAATATTAAATCATCAATATAGCTTTAAAATTCATCGAGATATGAGCTGTGAAAGTTAAGGCATTAATTTTTTTTTCAAATGTAGATCTGCTTGATTTCTATTGACGGCAGCCCAAATGATTAACACAATTCGTATTATGATAAGTTCCAGTCTGGTTTGGCTTTAAACTTATTTATCTAAGTTATTTGTTTTTAAATCACAATAATGATTAAGTCAAACGCCTTTAAATAGCTCTTTTGTAGACGTGTACAGTCAGGTATACTTTGTATGAAAGATTATAAATAAGAGTTGAGATCACATAATTATGGAGTTCAAGTAATATATTTGTGCAAAATAACGCCCATATGCATATTTCGGGACATGAACTTGAGGTGAGTTAAATCATAATTCTTTGTTATTAAAAGTCTTCGGTTAAGTTAATTATTAGGCCATCTCAAACTCGGATCTTGAAATAATGCCCATGGGCGTTATTTCGTGCAAACATGGTACTGGAATTTATTATAAAGGGCTATCATTAAAAGTGATTTATGCAAGGTTATTTAAGACCATTAATGCATGATTTATGTAAGGTTACTAATTTTCACTGAAGATTACCTACCATACAATGATATCAGCATTTAAAGGTTGTGTTCTTTGTTTGTTTTGGATCAGCTCTGCATGGTCTTAATATTTTGACAGCAAAATGAATTTACAACTACTACATTAATGTATGTGATTTTCGTTCAAATATTATTAACAAAATTCGTATTACTGGAATTTATTATGCAGAGTCGCTATTAAAAATGGGTTATGCAAGATTACTAATTTTCCCCAAAGAAGTGATTTAACCAAGGTTGCTATTTCCCCAAAGAAGTGATTTACAGAAGATTATTTAGGCTATTAATGCAATTACTATTGTAATTTTTCGATTAAACGGGCGATGTGCATAAATGTGCATATATGTTCCATTGCATGATGAGCGATACCGAAAAAAAGCCAGAATTCAATATTATAAAATTATCTGTTCGGTCTAATTTTCGAATCACCCAAGGTGGCTCCCAAAAGTTCGGCGACATAGATTATCGCGGTATTCAGTATTGGATTACAATCACAAAAATAATCTACAATATGCAACTAAAAGAGAGCCAATAATTAATAATTAGCACTAACTAATCTTACGTCCCGGATGATTCCTAATTTTTCCTTAGTTATTTATCTCGTGTGCACATATATGCATATTGTGTATTTCTGCTCACTCGACTGGCAATTTACTCTATTTAGAGGGCTTATTAATAATAAGACTTATATCAAAATATTGCCAGGAACTTTGTTATTAGTGCACAAAAATTATTTTTGTTTGACAATATACTGAAGCTTTAACAATTTGAATTTTTTAAATCTGATCAATGATACGTTCCGGATCTTGTAACACCAGATACATTTAGTAGAGATTTAAGAATATAATAAATGAGAACCTTCGACTCTATATTAAGACCTATGCTCTCATGGTGGAGATGGATAAAGCCAACTAAACTTGACTTCAAAGTTATACCGGGGTAAATATAATCAGCATTTAAATTTAAAATATTAGAAGTATATTTATGTTCTAATACGCATTCGTTCGTTTTTACTATCCTTAGTTTATGAAGATTTTTTTGATTTACCGAGATCACCCCACGGGATTTGATTATAATTTATATGAGGATTGGTCTATGAAATTGTTAGTTGGGGATTTGAGAATTCTCCGACTGCTCATAAAAATGATTAATCGTTTAACACAAAAATTCATTCTTATGATCAATCGGAGAATTCTCTAGTCCTCAAACTCGGAATAATCTAAAGCCGGGTATTAATTCATGATTTTTAATTTACAAATTTGTTAGTAATCAATTTAAAAACTCCTCATATCATCTATTACTTTGATAGGTAAGCCACGATTAGCGTTGACCTTTCATTTATTAATCAACAAGACCCAAATCTATCTACTAAGTCTAGTGGTTCTTTCTCTGAGTTTCGAGATCTACTATTTTCGCCACTTAAACGATCTAGGCAAGGAATATACTGGGTGTTTCACGTTCTCTTTTTATAAGCGACCTTATAGAGATCACGATGATTATTTATGCAAAATATGCATATTTTGCACAAATAATCATCGTGATCTCTATAAGTTCATTTATAAAAAAGAGGACGTGCGGTGATTTTTTAAATAACCAGTATAATAAATTTTGAAGGACTTCCTAGCGATTATAATTCGGACTTAGCACTGCTGCCGATCTAGAGATCTTCAACGTTACACTTGGGCTTAATTTCGGACAATTTAAGTTTTTTTTTTTCTATTTAGTACTTATACGCTTTTAAATTAACGTTCAAAACTTCATTCATGCCGATTATTACAGAGTTACTTATATTTCTGGTCGGTTAAAACTCTTTTAAGAGTACATTTGTTCATTTTCGTTATATGATTTTTTTTTTTTTTTTGTAGGGTTCGATGATTCTAAGTGTATCAATAGGATTCAGAATCTCTTGCTCGTGCTCTGTTAATGTTCGAATTATAATTATTTGGGGTTGAGACTTTGTTGAACCATCTTAATGGTTTTTTGAAGCACGAATAAATCTTCGTAGATATGTAGATACGTAAGATAATGTATAAATTCTTTATTTGTTTTTATTTTATATTTAATATTAATTTATTTTTTTTGCTGTAGCAGTATCGATCAAGTTTTTTTGCTTCAATAAATACAGTAAGTAGATGTCTTATCAAATTCATGCTTATACGAATTTAACTTACACAATGCTCTTTAAATTGCTATATTAAGAACCCATTTAGGTTCTCTTCTGTTCATGAAAGATTTTCT